ATAACAACCATATTAAAGGGAGATTAAGTTTTACTCTTAGCAAACAAACAGTTGATAAACACACTCGTAATATTCTAATAATTTAATAACTCTTCTGGCCTGACATGCTCCAGTACAATTTTTTAGTTGGACAACCCTAAACAATATATCAACATAATCTGTAGAACTAACACTCACAACCAATCAGTCATAAAATTAGATCTTCTAAAATTTCTTTAATTAGTTTAGTGTCAAAATGCAGAACTCATCATCTGTTGAAAGGTCAAAATCGGGTGTTTCAAATCCATCTAAATTTTCGCTACATTTTGATATTCTAATATCCCTTGAACTTAATGATTTTATTAATCTCTTTTTGTTTTTGTTTTTCTATAGTTGGAAATCCAAGTCTCTCCTATTTTCAGATCTAGCTCTGTAAGCTGCGTCATCTTTTTCCTAAATGAACATCTTTCTTTTCTTCATCTAGAATTCTAGATCATTTTAAACTTTAAAGATCATTACTAGTTGCTAGTAGTTGCTAGTTGCTAGTAGTTACTAGTTGCTCTCATTTTCAAAATTTTTGAAATATTAAAAAGATTATTTAATTCGAACTTCTTTTACAAGAATATTTTATCACTAAACTTTATACTTTATATTTTATCATTAAACTTTATACTTTATATTTTATCATTAAACTTTATACTTTATATTTTATCATTAAACTTTATACTTTATATTTTATCATTAAACTTTATACTTTATATTTTATCATTAAACTTTATACTTTATATTTTATCATTAAACTTTATACTTTATATTTTATCATTAAACTTTATACTTTATATTTTATCATTAAACTTTATACTTTATATTTTATCATTAAACTTTATACTTTATATTTTATCATTAAACTTTATACTTTATATTTTATCATTAAACTTTATACTTTATATTTTATCATTAAACTTTATACTTTATATTTTATCATTAAGCTTTATACTTTATATTTTATCACTAAACTTTATACTTTATATTTTATCATTAAACTTTATACTTTATATTTTATCATTAAACTTTATACTTTATATTTTATCATTAAACTTTATACTTTATATTTTATCATTAAACTTTATACTTTATATTTTGTCATTAAACTTTATACTTTATATTTTGTCATTAAACTTTAGGAGTGATTTAATTTTTACCATTTTAGTGTATTTTTAATGAACTTTTTAAATTTAAATAATACAAAAATAATTTAAATAAGTAAATAATACAAAAAGCTAGTTTATCCATAACTATTACAATTAAGTCAACAAAAAACGAACTGAAAAAAATTCATTATTTTAAAAGGCTACTAAGAGCTTGAGCTTCCTTCCAGAGACGATTTTAGGGGCGATGCGGAGAGGGCTATTCCCCCTCCCCCATAGAAGGTGATTTTCAAGTCGGTTTTTTGACGAATATATCGGTGGCCTCCTCCTTATTTTATGTGTACAACTTTTAGGAAACAGTCGGTATTTTTTAAGGAATAACCCCCCCCCCTCTCCTTATTTTATTTGTAGAACCGCCTCTGCTGAATATAGTCTTCAAAGCCTACTTTGATTCATACAGAAGTATGACAACTATGGCAACAGTACATTTGATCCCAAAACGATTAACGCAAACTCTTTCAACAAGTTCAAATCCAAGACATTTTTGTGAACATGCAATGTGAAACTTTAAATTTGTAGCTTTTTTCAAAGTTTAAGAATAACATGTGATAACTAAAAATCTGGACAAAACTTGAGCAAATATTAAAATACGAAGGAATAATTTAATATACTTGCAATTATTTCTATTTTGTTACAAATTTAATTCTTTAATTGTATTATTTAAAAAAAAATTATTTAGTAATAATTAAAAATGAAAAAAAAAACTTGTAACGACGACTCCCGTAGAAAATGAGTGTACGCATTTTTTGCATTTGAATCCAGATAAGAATAAAAGCTTTAAAGCTTTAAACAATAAAGCAGTTAAAACAATAAGTTTAAGTTTAAACAATAAGTTTAACAAACTTTAAATAATAATTAAACAATAAAGCTTTAAACAATAAAGCTTTATTGTAAATCATTTCCGAATGGAGAACATATTTATAATATACTTTAAAGAACTATTTATAATATACTTTAAAGAAAGGAGAATAATATAGGACCAGAAAGAATGTTGGAAGTGGTCGCAAAACAAAAAAGATGTCTGCAAAAGAGATAAAGTGTCTTCGAAAATCGAAAAATCGAAAAAATCGATTGATCAAAAGGATGGTATTTCACAGCGTGGTCTTGCAAGATGATACCATGTATCACAACCGTACATATGCAAAATTATTCTCATAAAAACTAGTATTCGTTATCTTAAAAAAACTAAAACACCTAAAAGAACACCAACTTAAAAAGCAGCTGTTCGTTCAAAATGCCATAGATTGGTTTTGATTTTTAGGAAAAAAGTAGTAGAAGATGAATCGTATTTTTATTTGAGCAACATTAATATTTCCGGAAATGTTGGATTCTATTCTTCTGACATAAATACAGAATCAAATGATGTAAAGTTAAAAGGAAAAGACAAATTTGAGTCAAAATTACTTGTTTGGATTGCATTCTCGACGAAAGTAATCTCTCAGCAGTACATTGGTCCGTCAGGCCAAGCAGTCAATAAAAATTCATTGAAAAACATCATAAAAATGGCAATTTTGTCTTTTGGCATGATCTAGTTTTGTCACATTATTCACTTAAATTGCAAAGTTATCTAAAAACTAAAAATATTGAATGTACCGAAAGAGCATAACCCTGCTAATGTGTCAGAATTACGCCCAATGACGTAAAATGGGAGATTTTTGGCCTAAATTTAATAGATTAGTGTATAATAAAAGTGGAAATCTTAGTAAATTTAAAAAGGAGATTTAGTTTTCAATTAAGAAAATCAACATAGAACGTGTACATCAACTAGCTGCTGCAACATTTACAAGATTAGACACTGTTCATCGTCATAGCATGAACTTAAAAAAATTTTATATTTTATTAATTAGACATTTTTTGCTATTATACTTTTTAAATTATTAAAGATGATCATTCCGTTAAAAAGTTATAAAAACTTAAAAGTTATACAACTTCTAATTTTGTCCAGATTTTTAGTTATCACATGTTAGGTAATATCTCAACACATTTCCCACAGCAGTTGGTTTGTTGGTAATTTGTTTATAGAACAATTAAGTAAAAAGTTCTACTAATAATTAAGAAAAAATTCTTCGAGAACTAACAGAGCAATTGTACTTTCTCTTTATATCTTGCTTTATTTTCGTTTTTATAACATTTAATGTTGAAAGCAAATAAAAATTAATATTGCGAACACTTCTGCACTTTTGAATTAAAAATATTTAACAAGTAAATTAGAAGTATTACAGAAATTTATAAACATTATCTAATAAATCTTGATTTTAACAACAATGTTAAAATCATACAAAATTTTTTTTGTTCCAATTATTACAAAAACGCGAAAGTAATAAAAGTAAGAAAAAATTCCCAAATCCAAATTTTTAAAACATACATCTTGCAATTGTCGGCTAGATGAACTATAATATATAGGTATTTATTTTTTTCCGGACCAAATCCCAAACAATTGATTTTTTTTGGGGACACCCTATTAACCAGTTAGCCAATCAGACTGAAATTTTACTCAGAGTTTGGTGTGGCCATAGACTACATTTGCACCAATTGTTAACACATTCATATTGAGTGATTCTCACTCTACAGGTGTTTTATTGGCGCACTTCGAAGTCAAAATTTCACTTAACTTGAACATTCAATTTAATTTTTTTTTCCGCAAATAAGATGAAAAGATTCTAAAATTTGCATCACAGGATACCTTAATATGTAATCTATCTTTTGATATAAGTGTCATTCTTCGGTCAGCTAGATTAGCTTTATTAGAATTCATGACAACTGTACTTTAAATATGACTTTAGTGTCATTAAGTGAGAATTTTAAAACGACTTTGACTTTTAGGAAATTCCCATTGCAATGCAACACTTCAATTATCTTTATGGGATATGTTAATCTTAATTAGTACGGTGATCATTTTCTATTTTTAGTTTTGAAACAACTATTAAAAATTGTTTTGTATAAGATTTCTAAGGTTATTTGATAGATATGGATATACAATATTACTTTGACTTGAAGTTGACAATTTTTATAAGTTATATGACGAATTTAAATACTTTTATGAGTCTTTAGCTTTGTTATAACTTTAATTAAATACGCAACAAATTTATTTAGACTAAATTAAAATAAAAATAGATTTATTAAATATAGTCTAAAAAATGTTGAGAAACAAATATTAAATGTTAAATGCTAAAGGGCAATTAAAATGGAATATTAAAGTGTATCCCTAGTAACGTGTATTCCTATTAATGTCTATAACATTTTCTTAAAGCATATTTTAATCTTTAATTTGTTTGAAAAGAGTAAGCTGCCCTTTGAAATATCGGAAAAACAAGTTATCGGTATTATTATATTTGGAAGGGTACTGCACATATCATGGCCGATAGAAACACTAGAAGAGGGGGAGGGGGAACTGGGCATGTATACGGGTCAAAAGTTATAAACACACAAATTTCTAAATACGGAATACAACAGAAAAAAATTATATTCTAAATTTTAAACTTTTTTTTGTTAAACTTGATTGCTTATTTTCACTAAGCTTTTTATATTATTCCGCCTTTTAGTAGGTTTATAAGTTTTTAGCTAAAAATATATAATTTTTTACAATGAATCTTCATTGTAATAAATTATATATACATTAATAAGTCCGTTAAAAGGCGGAATAATATAAAAAACTTTATATATATATTCGAATATATATTCAAATTTAAAATGAAATGACTGATATTTAAGTTTAACAGTCAATAATAGTTTTTTTTAGATATGTTAAAATAATAAGTTTAAATTTTGGTTTTTGATTTCTTTTAAATAAAAAAATTATTTTCTTTTATTTAGGAAAAAGAACTCCTACATCGTATGGTAATTACTTTTTTAGTTAGGAATTATTTTTCATTTTATCTTGTAAATTTCAATATTAGTAGTAATTTTATTGTGATGGGTTTTATGGCTGTGATGACTTTTACTTTAAGCGCTAAGTACTTTTTAATTGAAATAATTTTAATCAAAAAAGAAGCAATATATGTTAGAATATGGTTAGAAAAAAATACGTTAAAATTGTAAAACCTTATAATATTTTTAATTTTTAATCTATACTGCTTTTCGTATCTACATGAAGGATAAAGAGGGGCTAGTTGAGCATAGAAACAAGTTGAGCAATTGAAATATTTTGAAAAGTATGCATTGCATGACAAAACATCTAAGATGTAAGTTAGGGAATTAGAATTGTAACACAACGCACAACAAAAGGTTGTTATACGGCAATCGAGTAAGATAGGTACTTTTCTATTTTGGGCATGGGTACTTTTCTATTTTGGACTGAGTAAAAAAATATTTTTGATAATAATTAGCAGTTTTTCGGTTCTCTTTAAAACTGACACCTTGTCTAGAAGGGGTAGATTAAGTTATGCGGCCATGGCACATTGGTTACAGCGCTTGCTTTATAAGCAGGAGATCAAGGTTCGAAACGAGCTCATATTTTCGCGTCACGGTAAGGAAAGAGGCGTAAACTTCCTGGTTAAATGCACTTCCGCGGTACTCTGTGACAAGACCGTTAGGTCTTCTTGAGGCACCTAAATAACAAAAAAAAAAAAAAAGAATTTTGAAAAAAAAAGGACATAACATTTTATAGTTTTTTCTCGTATCTTACTTACATCATTAAAGCTCATAAAATAAAAAGTTTATAAACTATCAACACAAATATTGTTTAACAATAATTTTATTGATGATTTATCCAAGTTCCATATCATTCACATTCATTTATTCTTTGATTGCTCAACATACCCAACACAGATGCTCAACTTAACCCGTGGGAGCAGGTTGAGCAGCTTGGTAAGCTTCAGGCAATATCTTTCCAAGCATATAAAAGATACATTTGTTTTAACCAGATTAAATTATCGTTCTAATATTAAATCCGACGCACCGTTTATCCCTAATTGACATTAAACGTCGTAAGTGAGTGGACGTCTGTTATACGATTTAGGACGTCCGATTCTCGCTGGTTGAGATCTGATAGATTTAGTAAAAAAAAAAATTAATTAACATTATTTAAAAATATTAATTAAAATTTAAATCACAATTTTTTGCAATTTAATTTTTTTCAGATCATATGCGTTTTTTTCAAAAATTGTTATTTGAAGAATTGCATAAATATAATCAAGAAAAAATAAATTCTCATAAAATCTAAAATGGTTTTGAAAACTTACTCTTTAAAATATCAAAAATCATAAAAAATAATATCACTTTATTTATGGTGGCATGGAGTTGAATAGAGACCAGACAAGAGCTTATTACATTGACTCTAAATTTATTAGTCATCTTTATAAACAGTCGTGATTTTAAAATTCATTGTATCCAGTGTTTCCATCTTATTATAGTCTATACGAAAAAATGTTACCCAAAAAGTTACCTCAAAAAAAGAGTGGCCATGAGTTCTGCGTGTGCAAGAGTAATGTAAAGTGAGCGCCGCTGATAGAACCTTAGAAAGTGCTTATATCACGACTGCACATTAAGTTTGGTTTCATCAAGCAGCTTGTCACTGTTCTCAACAAAAATTTGGCACCTCTTAAATACCACCAAGATCTTTTCAAAGGTAATTGAGCTCAAAGTTAAAGGTGGTATTTTTATCAGACCGCAGATCAAGAAGATTATAAAGATAATTTTGATAAGTTTAAGGATAACATGGGTAAGACGAGCGCTGTCATCAACATATATTGGACTTTGAACGCTTTTATCAAACACAGTAAAAGGAAAGCATAATAGGGGGATTACATTCAAGGGATACTTGTGAATGTATAGTAGGGGAGAGTGTGTATGAAAGAGCCAGGTTTTGAAAGAGCCGATGCCGTTATTTCTAACTTCCTGGCACCCAACCATAATTGTTTTTTACTCATTGTGTGTCAACACTGGATACAAGTCACCCACAAAAAATTTATAGTTCTACTAAAATAAATAGCGCCGTTAGGCTGCACTAAATATTTTGAACACAAAAAGTAATTTTTTGGGGGTTTACTTATTTTTTTTTAAGATAAAGTGTATTTTATTATTTGATAAAAGATATATGCCTCGTTGTTATATATATATTTGCTCTTCATTTACACAAAAAATATTAGATTAAAGTTTCGGTAAAAAATGTTTAATTTGAGTTTATTTTTATAAACATACAATTTGTTGAAAGAGCCGACTTTTTATGCTATGAATGAGCCGGTTTTTTCTATTTAGCTTTTTTTTAAACTAATTAATTGTTTCGCGCTTTAACGACTTCATATATTTTTCGTAACGCTTCAATGAGCTTATTCTATCTATAAAAGTTGTTTTAATGACTTTTCCTGAAGTTGTAAAGCTTTCATAACATTGTGTCAATGAAAGAGCCAGTGGTGGCTCTTTCATTGACACAATGTTATGAAAGAGCCGTTTTCTATCTTTTTTAAAAATAGGTTTATGACAGGTTTTTAGCATTTTTATCCAATTTATTTTAATTCTATAATATTACCCAATAAAGTAACTATCTAAAAAAAAAAAAAAAAAAAAAAAATTAACCCCAATTCACTTTTTTTTATTCCTTTTTAAAACTGGCTCTTTCATACACACTCTCCCCTATACTCAATAATTTAGAAAACCTGAAGGGTTTTTAAGTGCTTTTTTACTATCTTTTTTTTATTGATTTTACTGGACAAAGAAAATATTTTGTAGTTATAAAACCTAAGATTGTATTCAAACAGTTTTTTGCTTTCTGCAGTCTTTAGACTTAATTAATTCAAGTAATAAAACTTTAAATCCAAGGAACAAAGTTTTGCTGCAAAATGTTTTATATTATTTCATTAAAAACTAGTTTAAAAAAACAAAAACAAGAACTACAAGAGTTAATAAAACCATAATAAAGAATGTTACATGAATTAATATGTCTATATTGAAGAATTAACATGCATATATATATATATTAACAATAATTAACATGCATATATTAAACATATTTTTAATTTGTTTGGATAACAACTAAACATAGCAAATATTAAAGTATAAAGTATATAAATCTACAGTATTTAATATTATTATTTACGGTAATATTCACTATGTTTGTTGTTTTAATGTAAACCGTTTAGTTTTGCTCCGCAACATGTTTGCATCGAAGTCTCATTTCCTGGCAATTTTGTTATAGAAACAAAATACCAGTTTATGAAAATGATTGAACAATGCATAAAGATGATAATAAAACACATGCTTCGAATATAAACATTTTTTTCCGTTTAGTGAGATCAAGAAAAATTGAATCAAAATTCGTAACTGTCATATATTACGTCATATATAGCCAAGAAATGAAATGGTTATACTTCTCTTCAACTTCTTTCAAAGTCATTCAAGATTTTTTTTGTAACACTCAATGGATTTAGAACGCAACTAAACTTTTAAAAGATATCAAAATAAATTGTGGTTGATTATAAATGCGATCTGTCTCATTTTGCCCCACGTTACCCTACTATTTTAGAAACCTATTTTCAGAAAAAAAATAACGTAGTCTTTAATACAGAACATAAACAAGTTTTTTTTTGTTATCCTATATATATATATATATATATATATATATATATATATATATATATATATATATATATATATATATATATATATATATATATATATATATATATATATATATATATATATATATATATATATATATATATATTATTTTATTTATTTAACACCCAATTTACAAGGTAAAAAGAAAAAAATAAGAAAGTTATTTCGGATGACTTTGCTTAAAAACGTTTTCTTCCAGAATTTGCTTGAAAACTCCTCTTTGCTCTTTTGCATTCCAGCACTCTATTGCATACTTCAAGTTTCGTTCAACTTCGGAAGGAATTTTACTTTTAGAAAGTGGTATTTTTATCTTCTTTTTATTTTGAATTAGGTTTTGAAAATTTAATATCTGAAGATGGCATAGTTCCTGAATATCACTAACAAACGAATATTGAAATAACGGGTGTTGCAGTTGTGAAAAGATAATGTCTGCAGTTGTTTTGTTATTAAGAAGTCGAAGGAACAAGTTTAACTTATTTTGTTGAACACTTTTTGAAATTTCCTGGATTTTAAATAACGAATTCATATAGTTTTTACTATGTTTTGAAACATTTAAAAACGATTTTAGCGCACTCCTTCCAATTATATCTAGCTTTTTCATCAGACCAGGATTATTTTCACATAGCTCCATACCATAAGTTAAGGTGGGGACTGCCAATGATTTATATATATAGGAAATAGAACTGGGGTGGGCAAACCGGATTCCAGATTGAATAAGAGTTTGAACAACAGCTCTAAAGTTTGATATTTTTTCATCAACATTTGAATAACCGAGTGAAGCAAAAACTGAATGTTTAGTATCCCATGTGAATCCCAGATGTCTAAGTTTATTCTGAAGATTTTTTTTATTACCAGAAATTGTTATTGTATTAGTTTGTATTTGGGCTTTACCTGAGATCAAGAACTCAGTCTTTTCGGCATTCAGTTTAATACAATTTAGATTACTGTAAATATTGCATGTTTTTATAAGCTTTTTGAGACCAGATAAGGTAGAGCTTAAAAGTATTATATCATCCGCATAGGCTACCACACCAGTAAAGTTACCGTTTATAGATGTGCCAACAATACCCTGATTTTTAATAGTTTCGAGAAGACTTTCAGTGTAAATATTATAGAGGTGAGGCGAAAGAATTGATATATATATATATATATATATATATATATATATATATATATATATATATATATATATATATATATATATATATATATATATATATATATATATATATATATATATATATATATAGCGAGGTGAGTCAGGAAAATATGAAAATGGGAGAAAGTTCCAAAGGAAAGAAACGAGTAGGAAAAACACTACTAATACACTAGACGAATAAAAGTTTTTAGAGCATGAAGGGACAGATACAGTAAAAGAATGAGAGTTTGCTAAATGACGAGTCAAGCGAAAATAAGTTTTAGTTGATGTAACTAGATATGATACAACATTTGTCATTCTTTTAAGAATTACAAATGTTGTGAAAAGAGAAGAATCTGTTGTGAAGGAGAAGAGAATGTTGTGTAATGAGAAGAGAAAGTTGTTAAAAAGAAATTCTTCACTTTTCGCAACCTTCTTGTTAGAATGAGAAAAAAAAATTAAACTTTTTTTTGTTTGGGCGTTTTCGATTATTATTATTGTGCGCACAAGTGTGCAAATGTGCGCATGTGCAAACTATTATTGTGCGCATAAAGCTTGTTCTCCATTCAGAACTATTTGCGCTTAGGAGGAACGGAAGAGTTCTTTGAGCATGCGCAAAAAATTCTGATTGGAGAACGGATTTAAAAAAACTGTTTGCGCATGCTCAAAGAACTTTTCCGCTTCTCTAAAGCGCAAAAAGTTCTGAATGGAGAACGGGCTTAAGTCGAACGCTGACTCATGCGCACAATAATATTTTTCTTTAACAACTTTCCATAGTTTTCTAAATAGATATCACTTCTTGCACCTATTAAATCTTATTCGTCAAATATATTCTTATTTGTTATTATTTATTTCTTACTTTATTTATATATATATTATTATTGACTTTTTTTTCTCAAGTTATAAACGTTCATCTAAAAAATGTCTTACTTGCCACAGGTTATTCATATTTTTTATGATTATGTTTTTAGTAAAGTTGCGAATACATAAAAAAAGTTAACGTAATAAGAAATATACTGTTTAATAGACTATTTGGTTTCAAAACGTTGTTTAAATATTTAAGTCAATTATCCCTTAAATTAAAAATAAATAAAAAATAAAACATGCTTTTCAAAATATAATAGTTCATTATGTCTAGTGTAAAATGATCAAGAGGTTGGGAGATCCGGGTTTATTTCCACCCTATTAGGCAGCATCATGAAGAAAATACAAGAAAATTAATAATACTAATATTATTGTGATTGTCGTAATAGCATAAAATAAGTAATTATTTTTGAAAATAACACGTTTTTTATTCTTGACATGTTTCGTAAAATTTTATTTACATTTTCCAAAGATTATTTTACAATAATAAAACTCTGAAATAAATATTAAAAAATAGAAGTCTTTAAAGAGAAATAATAACGGAAAAAAATTTACAAAATGAACCAATATATTTATTAGAAAATAACTCGGTAAATAACCAATCAAAATAACTAACTGTCAAAAAAAAATTAATATTAATAATAATAAACTGACAGTAAAATTAAATAAATAAGTTTATAGCATATTGTGAAGTTTGTTTATTAAGTGGAGGACTTTCCCAATTAATGTGGAGGGCTTCTTTTATCTTTAATTAGTGTTTGGTTGGGGCATTATTAAAAATCTCAAAAGAATCACAGTTAGCCAGATTTTTGCAACTTCTATGACTGGTTGATGACTAATAAACAATTGGTTCTACTGTTTGATACAGAACCAACAGTAAAGAATTTTTCATCTGAGAAGAGGATGGTCGTTGGTCTCTTCTTCAAGAGTCTCAAAAGTTTTTTTGATCTTTCAAATCTTTTAACCTTTGACACTTAGGGAAACCGGGTGTTTCTTAATCCTAGCTTTTGATTTTGGCTTAGGTTCCTTTCTTGCTGGTTTTTTGATGGTGTGACATTTGCACACTCGTGCGCACAATAATAATAATCGAAAACGCCCAAACAAAAAAAAGTTTAATTTTTTTTCTCATTCTAACAAGAAGGTTGCAAAAAGTGAAGAATTTCTTTTTCACAACTTTCTCTTCTCATTTCACAACATTCTCTTCTCCTTTCACAACAGATTCTTCTCTTTTCACAACATTTGTAATTCTTAAAAGATTTTTGATGACATTTCTGATGGTGCGCTCACCCACTGAGACCTCTGAGGAGTTTGAACTGATCTCTTTAAACTACTGCCAAACTTCCTCTTAACACGCCTATTTATTTAGAACACTAAAGTACTGTCTACACTGTAATTAAACAATAACAGTGTAGACAGTACTTAGAGGCTTGTTAAGTATCTTTGAAATGTCTTTGGGCATAGTCCTATTCATAGTCAGATCAATAATTGGTTTATTTTTACTACTCAATTTGACTTTTAAGCTGTTTTTTTTTTGTTAATTTTTATTTTTATGCGTCAACAAAAACAAGTATGTGCGAAAAAATACCAATACGGAACATTTATTTTAAAATTTCAATACAATTTCCATTTTAAAATTTCCAAAAAGTTTCCATGAAAAATACCTCACATAAAAAATACCCATGACATATTACAAAATGTAACAGTTTTTTATTTATGATATAAATAAATAATCTTGATTTAGAGCAGCCATCAGATTCAATCTTTGGAAGGAAATGAAAATGGTAATTATATTTTATAAACATTTGTTTTTATAAGAACTTTTAGACTTTGATGTAATTATATTTTATAAACATTTGTTTTTATAAAAACTTTAAAACTTTGATGTAATTATATCTTATAAACATTTGTTTTTATAAAAACTTTAAAACTTTGATGTAATTATAAACTTTGAATAATTTTTTTTGTTGTTGATGCAAGTTGTAGTAGGCTAATAAAAATTTACCGAACTTTCATTTTAAATTTTTTATTAAATTTATTATTAATCAATTTATTTTAGTTATAATTTTTATTATCTACAGTGGTTGGCCATCATCTTAGGACTTCACATTTTTTTTTACAATTTACATTAAATAGATGGCTTAAATTCACATATAATAGAATAATATGGTGTTATTTTTTTTATATGTCAAGTTATATGTGCTCATTTTAAATTTAATCAACTCTGATCATCATAAAGTATTATGATACATTTCATAGTCAATCCGTTGACTATGAAAAGTATGAATACCTTTCATAGTCAATCCGTTGCATTTTGTACAATTTTATTTTTATTTGTTTAATTGAAGTTTTATTTTTATTTGTTTAATTGAAGTTTTATTTTTATTTGTTTTAATTGAAGTTGGGATTAAATTTAATTCAAAGCTTAAGTATTTCATTTCATTTTTTTTTATTATTACTTTTTTTTTTTTTTGTACTCAAAGATAATTAGTAAGAAAAAATTGCTCCAATTGTAAAGGTTTCTCACCAAACTTCACCAAACCGCTTTAAAAGTGAGAAAGAAATGATGCTAAAGAAAAGTTTGATCGAAGTAGACTACCTTCTAACTGTAAAAAGACTACCTTCTAACTGTAAGGAGACTACCTTTTAACTTTAAAACAACGGTAAAACAAGAAGACTACCTTCTAACTATAAGAAGACTACCTTTTAACTGTAAAACAACGCCTAAAGCAGACCTTATCGTCAGGAATATCTGCTATAAGATCTGAAAAAGCTTCACAAAGTATGGTTTAAGCTTATCCACGAAGCTATTGTGCCCTGACCATTCGCTAAAAAAAGAGGTAATGATATGTTACCTTCCGGCCAAGAAACTACGACGCAAAAAAAGATTTAAGTGAACTCAAAATCACCATCTGTTGGCAATTGATAAAAATTTGAAATAAATTTTTTTATTTAGATTCTTATCACTTTAAAAACATGTTCCCGTCACTTTAAAAATATGTTCCCGTCACTTTAAAAATATGTTCCCGTCACTTTAGGCGTTAAAAATTTGTTCCCGCCAATTAAGACGTTGTTCTAGATTTGCTTCTTAGACGAATCAACCTTTCATGTAATGATGGACAAAACAGTTGTCCGTTGTAGACCAAACAAAAAGTTTCATCATAGTCTATAATTCATAGATGCAATGTGAATCTATAAAGTCTATAATTCATAGAAGTGGAAACAGTTAAGCACTTTTATTACCTTCGGTAATGATCTGTCCTTTCTGAGCAAAGAGCAAGACGTGGTACAAAGTGGTTGAGACATAACCAGTATAAGGAAGTTCTAAAAAATTAGTTGCTACCCCAAATGGAAGAATGGTCAAAAAATGCCAATATTTTTGAATTTATGCAAGATTTGACTATCCACACATTAAAAAGTGTTATGGTTTATTTGAAACTGAAAAAACTTAATGTATTAGCCTGATCTAACCCATCAAAAACATTTAAGAGCTAATAAAACGGGAAAAAAATTTTAATTAACAAGCAAGATCTTATAGAAAAAATGATCTGGCACAATAAACCAATAGAAATAAATTAAAAGAAACTATAAAAATATTTATTGCAAGTATACCACGACGCATTGATTGCAAAAAAATTGATTTTACAAAATAATTTTTTTTGTAACTTTTTATATATATATATATATATTTCGCCGTTTAAATATTGCAACAATACCAAAATGTATAAATAAATATTTACATGACCGGGGCAAAAACAACACAAAAATAGCCTTATCGCTAAGCCCCGTAGTTTACATCGTATTTTTACATTATAAGCAGTTATTTTATAAGATAAATATTTTATAATTATTACCTTTAAAATTTGAAATATACTTTTGTTTAATTAACAAAAGCCAAAAAAAAAAAAATTAAAAAAAAAAAAAATAAATAAAAACTTAAATTAATTTAAAATTAAATTAAAATAAAATTAAAAAAAAAATAAAATAAATAAAAACACAGTTCAACAAAAGTCAGTAAAAAAAAAGTAAAAACCTCAAGGTATACAATAAACAAAGCTAAACAAAATTAAATGTAAAAACTGATTTGAAATAAAGTTATAAAAAGAACTATTTGTTAAAGTAATTATATTGATTGCTAATCAATAATTATTAATAGGATTAAGAACTATTTTTTATACTGATTAAGTTAATAATAACAAGAGCAGAAAAAAGCAAACCAGGTGGCTTGTTCGCATAAGGGAAATTAAAAAGATGAATTATATATATATATATATATATATATATATATATATATATATATATATATATATATATATATATATATATATATATATATATATATATATATATATATATATATATATATATAATAAAAACCAAAAAATAATAAAAAAGAAGATAAAGTAAAGTTAAAAGAAAGAAAGAAAAATAAATAAATAAAAAATAAAATTTTTTAGAAATAACTTAATTCATTGTCAATAGTAAGAAGTTTTTGTTTAAGTTTTATTTTAAATTTGTGAAAAGAAGCATATTAAATTTAGAATTCCATAATTTGGGTCCTCAAAATGTCGTTATTAAATTTAGAATTCCATAATTTGGGTCCTCTATTTGCAATAAAGAATTTGGTGGCCGTATAAAAGGTTTGGGTTGAATGAGTGTTGATTTGAAAATCTAATAGAGTAAACATGATTTATTTTGTTAAAAAAAGCATTAAATATTAGAGGTGTCATTTTATTAAAAGGTATTAAATATTAGAGGTGTCATTTTATTATTTATTTTAAATTTGTACATAAAAATAAGTATCTGATAAATGTTTAGTTGATAAACATTGAGTATATTTAGTTTATTAAATAAACCTTTACAGGGCGTTAAACTGTTTACGTTTGAAATAATTCGTATAGCATGTCTTTGTCTACCAAGTAGTTTTTTTTATCTTGGTTGCGTTGGTGCTGCACCAAGCAATGTTCCCATAATTAAGGTAGCAGTGGATAAAAGAAAAGTATATGTTTTTTAAACAGTTTTGGTTTAAAGACCTTTTAGCTTTATATAATAGACTGATGTTTTTTGATATTTTGTTTTTTATTGTACTTATGTGTAATAACCTATAAATATTCAAAATATTTAATTTTTTTTTAATCAACTAATGCTTCGTCAATTTAAATACAAGCTTTAAATAGCACCATTATTTATCTTTTTTCTTTTATCTTTATGTCATTTTTACACGATATTTACTAAAAATTACTACTAGTCCTGACCTGATGGCCGCTGTCAATGACACATCCAGGGAGATCTGTCATTTAATTTTTTTTTTATTTAGGAGATGCAAATAGCTACAAAAAGCAAAAATATTTCAACGCACCACCACCACCCTCCCCCCCCATCCCCCCAAAAATTCCTGGATCCGTTACTGGCCTCTGTAAATCCAAGACTTTCTCTTCGACTTGAAAAAGTTTTATAAAAATGAACTTTGAATTGTTTCTTCTTTTTGAAACATTTTATTTTCTATTGTTAGTGTGGTAATCGTTTCTATTGTATTTAAGTAAACGAAAATTATTTAAATACAATAGAAAATATTACACAATCTACAATACTCTTTTGTTCAGTGCTCTACACCCAATTTTATATTGTACAGCAAGGTATTGCACAGTGTACAATATAGTTGAACGCAGTCAAAGAATTATAAAAGTTACAATGTTTAGTACCTTTTAAATAAAACAACAACAACAAAAAAAGAAAACGTCTTTTCCCATCACTCATTGAAAAACCTTTGCAGGGTGTTATGTTGCAATAGTATTTATTATATTTTTCTATTATTTAGGAGATGTAAATTCAAAAAAACTAAACTACCTTATTCCACGCTCCCGAAGAACATCAGATGGAACATTAAACAATAGTCGTATTATTCATCTAGATTCAAAAAACTTATCAACTAGTTGTGAAATTTTAGCTATAAAACCTGAAGAAAGATCCGCATTTATGAAAAGAAGTTCGTCTGAAGAGATTTTATCTTTGAATTTTCAAAAAAGTTCAACCGGATTTTTGCAAAACTTTCACACACAACAAAATTTAAACGCGGCTCCTAAAGAACGCAGTGTTAGTGCCATTAACTCATCTTATTATAAAAAAGAACCTGTTATAACTTTGTTAAATGATCATGCAGATGGACAGGACTTTGAACAGCAAAGATCATTTCAAGAGCACAGCTATAAAGATGTTACAAAAATACATCGCACTCAAAGTTATGAGCAGCTATTAGAGGGAACAAAAACGATGTCACTGGATAACTCTCGACAGTTAGAATTCAAAAGTAATGGGTTGCGTAAGTCATACTACAACACTTTGGTAACATCATCGCAAAGAAACTTACAAGAACAAAACATTCGAAGTAATGTGGAAAAGCAGGTAAATCACAGTACATTATAATTGCTGTAAAATAAAATAATAATAAAATATTAATTAAAATATTAGGTTCCTTTAAAACAATAAAAATATTAGGTTCCTTTAAAACAAGTTTTATTGCAAATATCTTTTAAATGATATACTTATGTTTTTTCAATATATATCTTTTAAATTATTTATTTATGTTTTTATATTTTTATAATATAAAATTATGATTTTACAATATAATATAAAATAATTTATTATATTTATGTTTTTATATTTTTATTTGCATATATCTTTTAAATTATTTATTTATGTTTTATATATATATATATATATATATATATATATATATATATATATATATTTTTTTTTTTTTTTTTTTTTTTTTTTATTTATTTCTGTTCTTAATACAATATGGTATAAATATTGTTGTACATTAAATATTAGAACAACATTTGCCAGAATTAAAGGTGTTTAGCGTTATCACTGATTGATGTTTCTATTAGGCTTTTTTTTTTTTTTTCGTTTCTGGAGCACTTTTACATGACTGCTGATTTTAAATAATATTACTTATGATTTTGAAATAATACTAGTGAAAATTCTTTTTACTAGTGCAACGTTTAGTTTTTTTTTTTTGTCACGTTGAACACCTATGATTTTGTGTCACTCAAATGAATAAGGAATGATGAAAAATGCTTCAGAATTAAGATTTATATTGACAGATGGCGGGCGAATTTTAAATCTAGAAAAAGCTGATTTCAAAATACCATCAGTTTTTTATTTAAAAAAACTCTCTGACTCATTTGACCTTTATATTTGCATGGTTACACTTTTGTAGCTTTTTTTGAGAAAATCTCGGTATTTTCTGAAACCTTTTTTTCTTAGTATACATTATTGGCATTTTCATGAGCTGAAATACAAATCAATTGATCAATATATTTTAAACACAAAAATTTTTTTTTTAATATATTTTTATTTTTCAATTAATTCAAAGCAGAGGGTAAAAAAGTATTGTAAACGTAAATGTATGACGTAACTTAAGTGTGACTAAATTTACAAGTTTATTTTTTTTACTTAAAATAAATAATAACGGTAAAAATAGCAAATCTTTTTACTAACCTGACCGTAAAAAAAAAAAACAATCTTTTTACTAACCTAACACACTGAGTCATTTTTATCTCTGTTACCCAACTATAAAAGTAAAAAAATTACATAAAAGTTTGACAGCTAAGTCACTTTGATTTCCATCTGACAGATGGAAAATCAAAGTGACTTAGCTTGCCAAGATGAAAAGACGTAGGCAATTACGTCTTTCTTTTCTTCTAAATCAATTTATTTACAGCCATATAATAGTTTTATCACAAAGTCTTTCTTTTCTCCTTTTTATTTTATTATTTTATTTTGCTGCCAATATTCAATCACTGCTAAGTTAATTTCATGGATACAAATCTATTATGTAGTTGTTATTTTTTTGTTAAAATTCTTTAGAGAGTCCGCTGCATAACGCCGAAATCAGAAAAGCGATTGGCTGATGCCAATAGTAAATCTGCAAAAAGAGCTGAAGTCTTAAGAAAACTTGATGAAGATTTTTCAAAAGCTAATCGTCTCATAAAAGTTTTTAAATCTACTGAAGCAATCAACACCTGAAATTTAAAGACATTAACTTACACAATGTGTACAAAATATTTATAGATTTCAAATCGCGAAAGACAAAGATAAATATATAAATGCATAAATAAGTTGTGTAGATTTGTATGATAGTATAATATACTAATGGTAGGAAATAAAAACACTTTATCAATCATTTATCGCTTTTATTATAAATAAAATCTTAACTTGAAAATTATCAGAAATTATTACATTATCATGCTATACTAAGTTTATTTAACCCTAGTATTATTATGCTATGCTAAGTTTATTTAAGTAAATAATAAATGGGGCAAATAATTAATTTTTTTCAAAAAGTTAAAGTCAGCGAGTCTTTTCTATGGCGAAATTTGACTCACAATTCGATCCTGGAAATAATTTGCTGCTAGCATAAGATTTAGGTTAGAAAAGTGCATTTTTTTTTCCAAGATGGCGGTCGAAAATAGCCACTGCCTCAGACATCAAGTACTGAAATCATAACCATGGCCTCCAATATCTCTTTTTATAGGATTTCGAGGTTGCTGATTTCAATTCTGCAGTTGTTTCATCCATACAAAGTATCACGATACAAAGTCACAAGCGTAATAATCTGGAGTTTTAACTGTTAAAAACAATGAGACACCAATAAAATATTCGATCGACGATTTGTAACCCAACTCACAAATGAAATGAATGAACTAAGAATTCTGCAAACAATTTAAAAATCATACACTCGAACCACTAATAATCAATATTATCAATCACATAAACAATCATTCACGTGTCATCACTCTTCACAAGACTGAACTGAGTAGTGTATCAATTTTGTTCGAGAGTTCATTTTTGGTTTTATTGCGTTACGATTGAAACATTGTCAATTGTAAAATTCACAATTTTGAATTTTCCAGAATCAAGTTTTATTCGTTGTCCTTGTTTGATTTCAAGCGCTATCGTCAGACGTAGGTACAAAATTTCATTGATCAGCTGTTTTTTGCTGAACAAGTCCAATATATTGACAGTTTTTGGAGTTATAGAACCGTTGTGTCTTTTGCCCTTTTCAAAAAACTCTAAAATTTTCCATGTTTTTTTACCTTCATTTTTTGACGTTTAATCGCCGCTTGTTGACGAGCCTTTTTCACTGTAGAAATCAGCTTCTAGTTTCCTGAGTTGTTCTTGCCCACTTTCATCGATTTTTCAGTTTTTTTTTAATTCAACAAATAGGCATTGGTTGTCACAGCATTCTTTCCAGAAATAGTCTGTATAGATGTATAGATGTAGTTCCACTACATAGATGTAGTTCCACTACATAGATGTAGTTCCACTACATAGATGTAGTTCCACTACATAGATGTAGTTCCACTACATAGATGTAGTTCCACTACATAGATGTAGTTCCACTACATAGATGTAGTTCCACTACATATTTTAATGCGATTGCTTTGCGAACTCTGACTCACATCCGATATTTGTCTGTTTCATGTGCTCAATTTTGCCGCCTGTTTTCTCACTTTTAAGATCAGAGTCTTTCAGTACGTCATTTCTGGGTTTAGATTGATAAATGGACAGAAAAAGACCGCCTCTTTTAACTGTCGAAACATGTGTCGATAATTTCAGTCAAGAGCAGCAAGAAGCTTTCCTCTGCCACACTTTAAATCAGCATCGTTTCTATCTTCTTTCAATTGTGAAAATTTTTCTTTGAAAACTTCCCGCACACCAGGTTAAATTATATTTAGTAGTTCTCGGTTTGCTTGTTCTTCTCAATTCCAAGTAATTTCATTGTAGGAAAAATAAACATTTTGCCTTCTTCGGCATACACTTCTAAACAGAGAATGAACCAATCGTTCTGTATATAAACAAATTTAAAACCGATTATTCTTTATGACAAAATTTTACAACATTTCTCCGATTATTTTGCATGACAAAGTTTTACAACACTCCCCATCAAGTTTTCCACACAGTAGTTTCTTTTTGATTTTTTCACGGTCGCTTAGACTTTTGAAATAAGTGGAAAGTTATTATACGCAAGAGTTCAAAATATTTTAGAACTTTAAAAATGGCTACGGATGCAAGGTTTTTAAAAACTTATCATTGACAACGAGTAACTTGTTTAATTTTAGATAATTTAATAGGCTTTTAACTATATTTTTTAAATAAAATTATTGTGAAAAAAACTTGCAGCTTTACTAAGAAATGTTTTAAATAAAATACAAGACCTCTGAATGTGAATAAAATCTAGTTTTAGCTAAAGCTACTTTTACTGTTTTTGTTTATAATCTTTAAAACTTTTAAAAAAAAATTTTGAGCGTAAAAATTTTTAAATTTTTATTTATTCAGCAAGATGAACCTTTTATCTTTTTTTCATTTTTTGCTTATATGAGGTTCAATTTTTTTTGCAGGGTTAAAATAAAATCTTAATCGTTAACTTTTTGTAACCTGTTGATACGGTACTCCTTTCCGATGTATACATATATATATATATACATATATATATATATATATATATATATATATATATATATATATATATATATATATATATATATATATATATATATATATATATATATATATATATATATATATATATATATATATATATATATATATATATATATATATATGTATATATATATTAGGGTGGGGCATAAAACACCTAAGTCAATAAAAAAAAAAAAAAAAAAAGTAAAATTTTTTTCTTACAATTTTAAATAAAAAATTTTTTTTTACATTTGTATTTATTTTTTAAAGAAAAGTTATTTTAAAGCTTTCAACCAAGATTTTTTTTCTGTTGTCTGAAATTTTAGACGATGATCTGCAACAACCAGTAAATTAGCTTGGTTATCTTCTTCGTTTCGGAAAGTTTCAATAAAGTCTTGACCAAGTTTAATTGCACGTTCTGCACTGTCATTTACAACAAGAAGACCAGTGATAAATTTTTTAAATCTTATATAACCTGAACATGTTTCCCAGTTTGATGAACTGATTTTCAGCCATTCTGTCTCATGTAATGTCATTTTAAGTAAATCAAAGAAAAACCAGCTTTCAGGACCAATAAAATCTTCAATTCTTTTCGTTATTTTTTTTTTCATTGTCAGTAAAAATTTCTGAACTTAGTTTTCCCATTTTATAACTGGTAGACTTTGCTGTTTGAGCTAATTTATGTAGCTGATCTACAGGTAAGCATTTATCAGCAAGACACATAACCACAAATCTTTCATTTAAATACCAATTGTGTTTTTCAAGTGACTTTAGTACGGCCTCTGCTGGTTTAAGACATAATTCAGAATATTGTATCATTTCATTAATGGCTTTTAGATCTAAAGAAGGTGCTATGGCAGGGATAGGAGCTTTAATAAACCATGGAACATAAAATAGTGCTGTAAATGAACCAATTTCATGAATCAGCTTTCCCTCTTGTAATGATATTATATCAGGACATAAGTTACTGAATTGTGGCTGTAGAATGTAAATAAAATGGAACTTCACAACAAAAATTTAAAACTCCTTTGCAGAGTTGTTGGACAGTTACTTGGTAAAAAGCATTATTTTATAGGAGAAATTCTTAAAGTAAAATTAGAGAAGCTGTTTGATGTTGAAATGACAGATTTGGAAATTGTCCATCCTCCAAAAATGTGTAAAAAATGTTATTGTACAATAAACAATGTACTTACAAGAAAAACATCAACTGCCCTTGGTCTCTGTACTAAATGGAAACCACACTGTGATGACTGTTTTACTTGCCAATCAGTAAAAATGCTTAGAAAAGGTTTAGTAGTTTCTATACAACAATCTAGAAATAAAGCAAGATGTAGAGGCTGCCAAAAAAATGATTCAAAGATGTGAACATTTGCAATGTTCACTACCATAAAAGAAGCAATAACCATAATACATGATGAAGACATAGATATATTAGAGCTAAATAATGAGTTAAATCCTCATTTGCGACATTGCTTATCTAATATATGTGGTAAAATCCCAAAGCAACCTTTAACTTTAAAAAAATGCGATTATCTTTTCTGCTTTTTTTGTATTGTAGAAAATATAAAGTTAAAGCCAATTAGTAAAGCAATATGTCCTCAATGCCAAGAACATTTATTATATGAAGATTTATTAACAAGTAACAAAACAAATTCTCTCATTAAAATGTTGACTGTTGCATGTATTTTATGTCAAATGAAATTTAATATAATTCAAGAATATGAAATCTATAAAAATCATAAAGACATATGTTCTAAAAACGCCACATTTTTGCCATTAACATTGCCATTGTCATCATTAGCAGTGTCACCAACAACTTATTTAAAACCTTATACATCTAAAACCAACATATCAGATGTTTTTAAACTAACAAAAGACAGTGTAGTTCCAAGAAGAAAAAAAAGAAGAAATACTTGTTTTTTCTTACATCTAAATCGCTAACATCGTCGAATGCGAGAAAAGCTGTTACTGTTTACTGTGGGAGAGTTTAAATGATTGTAAATTTTTGTGATGTTTTAATGGAATAAACTTTATCTATTTAAATAAAAAGTAACACAAGCTAATATTAAAATGGTTTTAGGAGCAGTTAAAGTTAAGTTACCAATTTTTAAAAACAAGCCAGGAAGGCACGTTTTATTTCAGATTGTTTTATAATATTTCTCTAAATAAGTTTTTCCATTTTTTTGTTTAACACATAATATGTAAAATATAAAAAATATGAGAATCGCATTGAAAAATAACCAGTGTAAAAATATGTATCTTTCTTTTTTCCATATTTGTTTTTACCGAATATACAGTGTGTATTACACACAGAACACATCTATACTAGCGGATTAGGACTTTTCGGGTTCCAGGATTTTTTTTTGGGGGGCATTTTTTATGCGCCCCAGCCTAAAATATCAACTTTTACAAAAAAAGGGGGTCCTTTTAAAAATTTCCGGTTTACAGCCTACCCTTAATCCAGCACTGCATGCTTGTTTTAAATGGAATTTGTGATTTTTAGAAAAGATGAAGCTTGTGTCAGTACTGTCTCTGAATCAAAAACCCAAATCGTACCTTTCACTCTTATTTCCTGTTGTTTAACTTTTGCTTCGCCTGAGACAACAACCGAGATTGGAGTCTTTTTATATGCGCCACAGCCTTATAATGACTAATAATTTAAAAAAAGGTTTTCTTACCAATTTTTGGGGCCTCTAAAATTGCGGAGATTGGGTCTATAGCTCCCCCCCCTCCTTTAATCCAAGACAGATACAAGTAACATGTTTTCTGCTTCCATATTTTTTGTTTATAATTCCTAGGCATAGTAAAACTCAGAAATTAAATTTTTTTGTATTTATACTGACTTTCTCAAATTTCCCGTTAATCTCAAACAAAAATTATTTTGTATATAAATAGTGGCCACCAAGAGTCTTCGCGTCGCCTAAGACAGCAACAAAGATTAGCGTATTTTCCCCCTTTTAATCAGGGATTATCTTTTTCCGGATTTTTCCGGAATTCCGGATATTTTTCTCAACTTTTAGTTTTTACGGATATCAAAAATGTTTGCTATACATAAAAGTTTAGGAATATATTTTTGTAATATATTTGCGTTTTAAACTTTTTTACTCATTATTCATACAAAAATTAAGAAAAGTTAAAAAAAAAAAATTATTACAGCTCAGCTAAAATCAAAATTAAGGGGAATATTAGGGAAAATATATTCCGGATATTTTACCCTACTGATTTTCCGGATTTTTTAAAATATGAGCTAGATGATATATGTTTAATTTTATCTTTAAAGTTGGGTTATTAATAGGGCGAAGAATATTCCTCGCATTTAATCTTATCTAGATTACTAAAGATATCTTTAGTTGATCTAGTATTTTTAGGCTAATAATAAACCATTTTTAAGACTTTTAATGCGTTATACCTGTTCTAAAGTACATATAATAAATCTAGTCTAACATGCTTTTGCTTCCATGATTTCTAGGCATAAATAAAAATTCAGTTTTATACTAATTTAATACATCAACATTTATGCGGATTTTGTAAAATCTTATTTATATCATTACAACAATCAAACTACTCTATAACTTTCAGATATTTACAGTTATCATTTTCACTACACAGACATTAACAAGGGCTCAAGTCACCCCATGTAGTGGGCTAAAAACATTTTTTTGAGCGCCACTCAAAAAAAGTTTGAACATTTCCGAAACAAGAAAGAATCCAAAAATGATAATTTAAAATCAATTCAGTGCATGTTTAGGTAAAATACCTTAACCAATATGCTGCTATGCAAACGGTTACAGAATTTGAAAAAAAAGGATTTTACCTGCTCCTACCGGTTATAAATGTTTCAAAGATACAAATAAAGTTAGACCCCAGTGTTATAATCTAAACATAATTTGTCAATTAATATTTTTGTGAAGTATAAGGCCACTGCTTCAAATAAATAAATATATTTTTACATTGTTCACCTCCCAAGGCCGAGGAGGTTACTACAGTCGAGGAGGCTACTCATTTTTTTTGTGTTTTTTATTTTTTGCTGTTATTCGTGGTACAACCCTCTCTCAACTCTTTAACTCCAAAAGACGAACCTTGACAAGCAAGGCCACTGCGGGGAGAAACTAAGTTGATATATATATATATATATATATATATATATATATATATATATATATATATATATATATATATATATATATATATATATATATATATACATATACATATATATATATATATATATATATATATATATATATATATATATATATATATATATATATATATATATACATATTTAATTAATATGTTTTTATCACATTAAATAAATTTATTCATTTTAACTTTTAAAAGTCACCTTTCTGTATATTACTCGCATTTTCTTTTATACGTCAATTTGTATATTTTATCTAGATAAAAACACAAACAAGTTTTGAACTTAAAGCATAACTTTAATAAATTATTAAATTTTTAGATATAAAGCTATATAAAATTTGTAATATTCGTAATAATGCAATAGAGACAAACGGAAGAAAAAGAAACATTGGTATAATTCAAAAAATATAAATTTATTTTATGCATCAAATAAATATCAATCAACACAAAATAAAAGATCAAAATATAATTCAATTGAAAATATAAATATCTTTTATGCATTAAATACATTTTTCATTCTTTCAATCTTTATGTAAAAAATATTTTAAATATATTCATATTGATTTTAACAATCTCAAGCTGAAAACATCAAAAAATAAAAAAATTTAAACACGAAACACAAAAAATATTTATATCGAGTTCCAAGAAAAAGTCTTTCTGCTTTAGTTTACTTTTCCCTTCTTTACAACAGGTAAGTTTCTTCGTTGAGAAGCGAATATGGTTGGAGTACTAAAAAATATATATATTATAATATTTGTTTGTTTTAAATCAATTTTTATCATAGTTTATTAATTTTGAATCAATATGTACAAAACCAGACTGATGATTCAATCGTTAAAATCAAAATGATAGCATTCAACCGATAAAATCAAAAACATAACTAATGGTATTGCTTTGATGCAGGCAATACAGTTGATTTATTTGACGTAATTGGCTAAATCGAAAGCCTGGAATAATAACATTCAAAATTGTAATCATAGATAAGAGGATGCATAAATATTTGTATGTATGTATGTATGTATGTATGTATGTATGTATGTATGTATGTATGTATCTATCTATATATATATATATATATATATATATATATATATATATATATATATATATATATATATATATATATATATATATATATATATATATATATATATTAGAGCCTTGTGAATTGCTTCGATTCGATTCGAAAAAAAAAGATTCAAGTTTTTTCAAATCATATTTTTGAGAATTATTTTGCGAATGTTGCTGTTTTTTTAGATTTCTACAGCTAAAATGTAATTGAAATGGGTCTTTCATACCGGGTGGAGAAAGAGTAATTGAAAATAGTTCTAATATCACTTTTAAACAAACGCCAAAAATATAATCCGGGAAAAACTAACTAACATTGTTAGTGCATTCTACAAATATTCTTAAAGAAGAGAGCAGTAATAAAAGAGTCAAACATTCATCTAGTTTTTTGTACTTTGACAGTCTGTTCAACTCCCATATATATATATATATATATATATATATATATATATATATATATATATATATATATATATATATATATATATATATATATAACCACATCGGAAAAGAGCACCATAGCAACAGGTTACACAAGTTTAATGATTAAGATTTTCTTTTAACCCTGCAAAAAAAATTGAATCCTCATTTTATATATCCTCATTTGAATCCTCATATAAGCAAAAAATACAAAAAAGATAAAAGGTTCATCTTGCTGAATAAAATTAAATTAAAAAATTTTTACGCTCAAAAATATTTTAAAAAAGATTTAAAAATTGTAAACAAAAAAACTAAAGTTGCTTTAGCTGAAAGTAGATATTATTCACATTCAGAGGTATTGCATTTTATTCAAAAAATTTCTTTGTACAGTTGCAAGCTATTTTTAAAATAGTTTCATAAAAAAACTAGTTAAAAACTTATTTAATTATCTAAAATTAAACAAATTACTCGTTGTCAATGATTAGTTTTTATAATGCTGCTCCCGTAGCCATTTTAAAAAACCTTTAATCTACTGCGCATGCGTATAATACCTTACCTCTTACAAACGACCGTGTATTGTAACAGGTTTTTTAGGTAAAATAAAAGTCATCTATAAATGATTTAATTAAATTAAAATTATAATATTCATACTCATAAAGAAACTAATCGCATTGTGCATAGAACTTTTAAATGTTGACATCTTTATCATATTTTAAAATAAAGCTTCTTTTTATAGATTTTATATAGAACATATATGTGTGTTTACTATAAACGTGTGTTTAATAGAGGCTATGAGCGTTTGTCTATTTATAGTCACCCCTCCCCCCTCCTCTAGGTCCTTTTAACGATTTTTTGAGAAAAGAGTTTTTTCTGTGAGATTTCTATAGTTCAAAAAAGGATTGGCGTGTTTTTCTTACACCCCCCCCCCCCCCAATTAAAAAAAAAAACAAAAAAATACAAAAAATTTAATAGTTCTTTTTCAAAAAAAGAAGTAAAAAAACCAAATATAAATAAACTTTTGTTTTTTAAATTAACAACAAGATACTAACAAAACTTTGAATTTAAAAGAAAGAAAAACAAAACAAATTTTTTTAGGATAATTAAATTCGATCTCTTAAAATTTCAGATTAAAATTTTTGTAATTTAAATTTTGTAAAAAATACTTTTCCATTTTCTTCAAAATAAAAAATTAAATTTTAGGTAAACTTTCTTCGAACAGTTCAAGAAAATGTACAAAACCTTTATATATAACATTACCAATTATAAATTAAGATTTTATAACATTAACAATTATAAATTAAAAATGAAAAAATAGTGCATTTAATTTTTTTAAATTATAAAAAATTTTAATTTAACTTAAAATATAAAATCGTAAAAAAGTAACAAATTTCATAAAAATCAATCTTTAGGCACTTCACACATTGAACAATTTTCCATTTGATCTTGAAACTTCTCAACTTGAATTGTAGAATGGTGAATATCATATTTACGAGACACAAGAGTTTGCGCCTCTCGGAGTACGCTGTGAGTCGATCTAGAATCATCTAAATCAAAATAAGTATAGAAAAGCGAAAAAAAAAAAAAAAAAAATCCAAATAAGCTAAACGTGCATATACTAAAGGTTAAATAAATATAGTTATAGAATACAAAAGTCATACATAATATTATAAAAAAATATATTTTATGGTATATGATTATGTAAAAAAATAATTGTTATATAAAAATAATAAAAAGTATATGCATAGATGTTTTCATATAGGAACAATATATACTTGTTACATTAAAATTATACAAATATAATTTACAAACAGATGTAAATTTACATTTTTGGCTTTCCTTTAAAAAAACAAATAAAATATAGGAAATTCGTTCTTTTTAATGTTTAAAACTTTTTTTTTTTTTTTTTTTTTTTTGGTTTGACTTATGGAATTTTTTTGCTGAAAATAACAACCACTCTAAAGAAAAAAAACAAAAAAACAATACACAAATCATTTAAATTAATATTATTTTTTTCTATTGAAGTTAATTATAATTTTCTACTTTGTTAGTTTTGGTTTCTTTGTTTTTAAAAATTTTTTCAGCAACAATTAATTTAATAAAACTTGCAAACGGTCGTGAACAAGTTTTTTAAAATAAAATACTAATGCGCGGACATACAAGATGAAAAACCACAAACTTTCCTGGGAAGGCTTGCACTGATAAAAATCTAAAGGATTTTCTTGAAAAGAAAACATATCAGAGAATTATTTATGTATAGTGTGTCGGTAAAGACGGAAAATTTGTTGCATTCCTAATAGATTTTTGACAAGAAGATTGCAACTAATATTTCAGTAATACAAGCCTTCCCAGGAAGCGCGTGCGGTCGCACGCCTTGTAAGTCTTTTATAATTTATTATAAATTTTATAATAAAAAAAGATAATTGTTGTCAAAAAAATAATATACCTAAATATTTACTGTTTTTTTTTTCTTATTTTTAGAGCATTTGTTATTTTCCACTACCAAAATTGATACATGTCGAGAAAAAAATTAGATCAGAATATAACAAAAATAGAAATATGTTTTGATATACAATTTTTTCGCAATTTTTTTCACTCATTATATAAAGGAAATACTTTATCCGCTAGAAACACTGACAATTTTTAAATTTGTTTTTTAAATGTATTTGCTAAACCATACTGCTTTTATTAATGCACAGGAAAGCAAGAAAACTAATTGCTATGTATTTGTAAAATATTTTTTTTCTTTAAACAGATTTTTGATGTAAAAAAATGAAACGATGCTGCAAAATTTTGTGGGCTAGTGCATTGTTAATTTACTGAGCTTTCTTAAAAAAATTTTGTGGGCTAGTGCATTGTTAATTTACTGAGCTTTCTTAAAAAAATTTTGTGGGCTAGTGCATTGTTAATTTACTGAGCTTTCTTAAAAAAATTTTGTGGGCTAGTGCATTGTTAATTTACTGAGCTTTCTTAAAAAAATTTTGTGGGCTTGTGCATTGTTAATTTACTGAGCTTTCTTAAAAAAATTTTGTGGGCTAGTGCATTGTTAATTTACTGAGCTTTCTTAAAAAAATTTTGTGGGCTAGTGCATTGTTAATTTACTGAGCTTTCTTAAAAAAATTTTGTGGGCTTGTGCATTGTTAATTTACTGAGCTTTCTTAAAAAAATTTTGTGGGCTAGTGCATTGTTAATTTACTGAGCTTTCTTAAAAAAATTTTGTGGGCTAGTGCATTGTTAATTTACTGAGCTTTCTTAAAAAAATTTTGTGGGCTAGTGCATTGTTAATTTACTGAGCTTTCTTAAAAAAATTTTGTGGGCTTGTGCATTGTTAATTTACTGAGCTTTCTTAAAAAAATTTTGTGGGCTTGTGCATTGTTAATTTACTGAGCTTTCTTAAAAAAATTTTGTGGGCTAGTGCATTGTTAATTTACTGAGCTTTCTTAAAAAAATTTTGTGGGCTAGTGCATTGTTAATTTACTGAGCTTTCTTAAAAAAATTTTGTGGGCTAGTGCATTGTTAATTTACTGAGCTTTCTTAAAAAAAATTTTCTGGGCTAGTGCATTGTTAATTTACTGAGCTTTCTTAAAAAAATTTTGTGGGCTTGTGCATTGTTAATTTACTGAGCTTTCTTAAAAAAAATTTTGTGGGCTTGTGCATTGTTAATTTACTGAGCTTTCTTAAAAAAATTTTGTGGAGCCTAATTAAAACTTTTTTTAAGTTTTTAAATTTTCTTAAACATAACAATCATTCACAACATAAATTCTTTAGTTTATTTATTTAAACTTGATATCGTTATAATTTTGTTTCCTTTTTTAAGAACTGTTTTTTTTTTTTAAATAGATAAGTTTAGCTTTTTGCCACAAATTAGTGAAACGCTTTATACGTTAAAAGATGCGAACTGCCGTGGTCAGTTAGTCTAAAATAATTACTTTAAACGTGGTCAAACAAGGCGTGCTACCACACCCACTCCTTTGTTTACAAAATAAAAATTTTGTAAATAAAGAATGGTATACATTATTAATGTTTTCAAAGAATGAATTAAGTGAAACGGAATCAGAAAATAGAAAATTTCAAGAAAAACTTCTCAAAAATGTTTTAGCAGTATACTTTTTTTTTTAATAATATTTTATTTATTAGTAAAGATTTCAGAAAGCTACAGGATTGAATATGCATTTAAACAATAGCTGTGACTCTATCATAGAGTCATGTTAATTGTTTAAATGCAGTGCATCTGGTCACTAGGATGTCACTTTTTACTAGACAAAAAACTTCAACTGCTCTGTATCTAAAATATCCTTATTAGTTCCCAAAATTTTTTTAGATCTTCAAGTCAAGGGGTTATTTCATATGAAAGGTTGCATGGTATTTTTCACACAGACCCTCGCATTTCAGCACCTTGATTATTTGCATTGATTATTCGCACTTGAGTTAATAGCAGAAAATTGCCCATTTTTCAGTCATTTAAGAGTTAATACTTGCATGCATTGGTCATTCACAACATTTAAAGACAAATAAATTTCTAAAATTATACAAAAATTATATAAAATCACTTTTTTTGTGTCTTTCCAACCTTTTTTCAATTTTTTTACACAATTTGCATGTTATCCTGTAGAAGACCTTAGTCATGGCTTTCAAATACAAAACTTTACACAAGTTTGATGTAGAAGTTCTTAATATCTAATACCCTTCTACGAAAATCAGTCCCTGCCATATACTCCTTTCTGTCATAATTGAAAAATAGCAACTGCTCAAAAATGTTTGCCCTTTTCCTCCTTTCTGGCCAGGTTTTTTGAAAATCTTTATGTATTGCACATAATGGAGATTTTGAACCTTGAATATAATCCATTGCATGGGAAGTACGCTTTTTAGATATATTATGCCTGATAAGAACAATTTTTAAAAGATAAAAAATGTAAAAATTTTGCAACTGTTTGACAAAATTTTTTAAATACGTTATCAAAACAATTAATTACCTACAGAACAACCATAGCACAGGTCTTTTAAGCAGATGGTTCACCAGGAACTTCATTGTCCCAATGTATTTTCCATTACTAGAGGTCGTTGTTTCTGCATTAAAACAAATAAACTGGTCAGTGAGCTCGAGAATGAAAATGTTCTGAATAGCTATAGCTTGATCCTGTCCTTTATATAAAGGACAGGATCAAGCTATAGCTTGGAAGATGATAAACTGAGAGCTAGTTTATCATCTTCCCAAGCTATATGCTTGGGAAGATGATAAACTGAGAGCTAGCCTTTTTTACAGTTTCCAACATTTTTAGGTAAGTTCTATAGTGTTTCACCAGTTTTCACAAAATAAATGACGACCTTTCACCAGTTTTACCAGTTTCACAAAATAAATGACAACCTTTAAACCTCAAATTTCGTCCATATTTTCTTCTCTGACTAGACTTCTTCCAGCTTCAATTTTCATCTTTTTGTTTCTATGTAGACTTCTTTTTGATACAAGAACTGTATTATGATCAACACCACTAATCTCGAAAAGTGAAGCCAGAAGTGAAGTTTCAGCGCAAACACTGACCTTGTACCTAGTCAAGAAATGAGCCCACTTGTCAAGAACATTATTCATTAAAAGCTCTATGCAAAACTCTATCTTTACTAATCTTTTATTCCTATCATCAATCAAAATCACTACCAGTGTCAGTGGCACTTCTACCACTTGAAGGAATTTCTCAAAATCTTTTACCTGCTTAATACCATCTATGATCTTTTCTTTGACATTTCTTGTTTTTCTTGTTGTTCTTCTCTACACTTTCAATCATATCTAACACTCATTTTCCCCCACCTATATTATTTAATATATTATCTATACTATGTATGTATGTCTCATATACCTATGATTCTTTCTCAATATCAAACTTTACCATTTCACCTTTGAATTTCTACAGGAACTCATTATCTTTTGTCTTTGCTTGCTTGTCTATATTTTCATTATTTCTTGAAAGTTTTAAGATGCCTGTTTTATAAACCTGAAAAATACATTATGCTTCCTTAATAAAACTCTTGTTTTTGTCTTACATTCTTTTTCTTTGATCTTGTTTATTTCTATAATGGTTCTAAGAATACACAGTTTTTTGTAGCAACTGTAAGATTTCTCAAGCTGCTTCTTCCTACTTGTTCTGTAACCCGAAATCTTGAATCAAGCCTACTGTTGTTCAAAAGTGAATTATACCTTGTTTTTTTTTCTTACACTCTTCTGAAATAAATAGATCTTGACTTTGACTTTTGTGAACATGATAGTTTTGCATTTTGATTGTTGTTACCTTTGTTTCAAGGCACAGCTGCTTTAAATATTGCTTTTTACCTAGGAAAAACTTTTCTAAATAATTATTTTAATTATAATATTTTGTTTGATGCAAACATATTTAATGGATGATGAAGCAAGTAGAGTATTTTTTTACACCTATAATTTTTCTGTGAAGCTGAATTTCTATTGTGAGATGTTTTTGTTCCTGGTTCTCTCCTAGAACTTTCAGGGATTGTCAGCTTGGTTCTTGACAATCCTTGAAAGTTCTAGGAGAGATCAGGCCTTGTTTTAAAGCATTAGGCTGCCGGCAATTTACGTACATGTTACGTACGCTTAAAGCAATTTCCATGAAGCAACTTTTCATCATTTTCATCATTAAAAGAAATATATATAATAAAAATAAATCATCTTGAGAGCACAAGAATATTTATGCAACTTTTGATTGCATTAAAAAATGTATGATGTATTGTATAATTTCTATATAGTAATAAATAATTTATAATTATTTTTTTTTATTTTAAAAAAAAGTAGTGATTAACTTTTTTGCTTGAAAAACGCTAATACTTAAAGCTTAAATCAAAGATCATTATAATTTAATTCTGATAACAAAATTATGATTTAATTCAAAACTAATTTGATAAAAATATATAATTTTATTCTGATAACAAAAATATATAATTTCAATTTGATATATATATATATATATAAATATATATATATATATATATATATATATATATATATATATATATATATATATATATATATATAAATATATATATATATATATATATATATATAAATATATATATATATATATATATTTATAAAAAAAAATTAGCTCATTTTTATTGCAATTGCTTTTTCGGTTTTCTTTCATAAACATTTATTTTTTACTCAAAATTAAATATTAAATAAACGTGTTCAGAGGCTGTATCAAGAATTTGCACAAAATGTAAGTTAAACTTATTTTTATAATGCAAGAAGAGCGCAGCAATTATTTTTTAATAAATGATATATACAACAATATAATTTTAACAAATGGTGTTTGGAAAAATAATCTTTGCTTTTGCAACAAAATCACTAATAAAATATTAAACTTTTAATAAATATGGTAGATAAATTAATGTAATTTTATTTTTTGTTACTCGCAAATTTTTTTAAAATAAAAAATCTTTTTTATTTGCAAATTTTTAAAAATGATTATTTAAGAAACAATCATTTAAAAAAATTTAACATAATTTAATTCATTTATACAAATGTTGAGAAAATAAATTTATTTATATGAATATTTTTTTTAAATGTTTTATTTAATTAAATTATTTAATATATATAAAAAAAAAAAAAAATTAAAAAAAAAAAAAACATTTCCTAATAGTAATAATAAAAAATGAGTTAAACAATATTAAACTCGTTTTGAAATAATTAATACTATTGCAGTAATTTAAAAAAGTTAATATCTTTAAAAAATAAAAATAAAGAGAATTTTATGACGTCAAGTTCACATTATGCTAATGTGTTAAGCATTTTTTTATCTAAAACAAGGCCTGAGAGATATTTCTCATTGGGGGAGTACTTCTGTAACATAAAGTTACAATTTTTGTATAAAAATCTTATTTTATGTCTTAAATATGACTTCTTATTTTGCATTTTAATAATTCTTATACTTTTTTTTATATATTTTATTATAAAAATATCAATAAATTCAATAAAATATATAAAATAATTGCATATGATATAGTCTACTGAAACCCTTTAACTTTGAGATCAAAAATATTTTTTGGTGGATCATAAAACCTAATATGTAAAATTGTGATAAAGTTTGAATTTTTTTTTTCAGTTAAAAAGTGGAACACCCTTATGGTCACAAACGGATGTCACGCACAGCTCATGTAGTAAGTTTTATAAAAATTGCTTTTGATTATTTAAGGTAAAATATTATATTTCTACAACTATTTTATTTTATTATTATATTTTATTTTTATCTAATATATCTTATTTCATATTATTTTATTTTTATTTTATTTTATATTTTATTTAATATATTTTCAAAGAGAAATAGCAGTCATCAAATACAGAGTTTTGCAGAGTTATAAGTGCACGTTTGTAAAGTTATAAGTGCATTTATAAAATTAATTCTAACCCTTATATTTTATATATCAATGGAAAGAAAAGTACAGAAAACAATTAGAGAAGAAACTAAAAATACGATTATTTCAATAAGAAATTGTGAAAAATATTCAATCAAGGAAATATCAAACACTTGTAATTTAACTAGAAATGCTGTTAGTTGTGTTATAAAAAATAGTGATAATAATATACCCTTCACGTCATCTACAGTAAAAAGAAAAGAAACCTATAAAATTAAAAATTCTATAAATACAAACATTGAACAGACAATATTTAATTCCGTGGTCTGTAACAATGCCATATCTCAAAATGAAATTCAAATGCAAATTTTAGAACAACATGATGTAACATGATTCAAATCCATAAGAAATCCCAATATGACTATTGAAGAAACTCTAGAACATATTTTATCACCTTAAAAGTCAACAGAGCAATGCTTTTTATATAAATATGAGAAGATGGTTGGAAAAAGCAATAAGGAAAGAAGAATACATCTAATTAAAATATTTGAAATGATTTGTTTATTTTTTTTTTAATAACGTATAATTTTGTCTTTTTTAAAACTTATGGAAAGTATCTAACCTAGAAAAGTTATTGATATATAGCAATATGCTAAATTAAGTAAAAATGTAAAGAATTCTCAGTAACTAATCACTTTTTTTAAAAATAAAAACAATACTTTTTGATTGCTATGATGTAATTGAATTTAATATTTTGCAAAACATTTTTTATTTTTTAAAACTAAAAAAATAATTTCTAAAAAAATATATATGCACTTATAACTTTGCAAGTGTGCACTTATAATTTTGCAAGCATGCACTATAACTTTGCAAATGTGCACCTATAATTTTGCAAACATGCACTTATAACTTTGCAAACATGCATTTATAACTTTGTAAAACCCTGTAACTCTAGCTTGAGTATAAAGTTTAAAAAATCATTGTATTAATATTAACACAAAAAAAATATATAAAATGATAAAATATACATATTTAAACATTCAGGTAACTTATGCGACAAAATTATTTTTGTTATAATTGTTCTTTAAGATAATCATGTCTGTATATTGTTTTATTGTTTTAAGTTACTTAAGATTAAGTTACTTCTAATTGTAAAAACAAAGAGAATAAAAAATCACGCATAGAAATGGAAATGTCCATACATATTTGCATTAACTTTTTTTTTTTTATTTTTTTTTTTTATTTTACTTCACCTCCTCAAGGCCGAGAACGCCACTACAGACGAGGAGGCTACTTATTTTGTGGCTATAACCCTCTCTCAACTCTATAACTCCGAAACACGAACCTTGACGAACAAGGCCGCTGCGCGGAGAAACGAGTTGAGCGCGGTACTACCAGGGACGTGGTGGGGATCGAACTCGGAACCACTCGTTTATGAAGCGAGCGCTCTACCACTACACCACTACCGCAACTGCAAGACAACCATGATTCATAAGAATAATACTTAAGTTATAATAATAAGAATTTTATATAAAGATACAATTAAATAAAAATAAAAATAAACTAAACTTTCACTACTCCTTATTCTTGGGTTTTAACTACGACTTATTCTTTGGTCTTAGTTTACTTTTTATCTTTTATATTTAAATCAATTTTTATTAATTTTTACTAAAAATATTAATTTATAAATATTATCAATTGATGATAACAATTTTTATTAATTTTTATAAAGACTAAAAGACTGAACATACTGAAATTAACAAAACTTTTTTATCTAAAATAATTTGAATGCAGCTCACCTATAGCCAGATGCACTGAAAGAGCCGGTGTATCCATAGTTAATGACCACAAGTGTAAGTTATGAACCATTTTTACAGCTTGAATATTTTGCAAATCTTCAAATACTTCCTTGAAATCTAATCCTTTTGGTGTGCCTATTTTGGATAAAAAAACATAAAACATATTTTACAACCTCACCAAAACAATTTAGACAACCTTTAAGATACTATGAACAATAAATTCAGACAACTTTTTAGATAAATGAAAATTTTTTAATAAAATACAATAATAAAAAGTACCTTCCATCAATACTAAAAGAATGTCTTTAAGAATTGTTAAAGTTGTAAACAAAACAAGCAACGAAAACAGAAACGTGCAAATAGGATCCATAATTTTCCAATTTGGCTTTAATATAATGAAATAAAATGTTTAGAATGAAATAAATTTTAAATAAAATTTATAATAAATTTCAAAAAATAAAAAAATTTAATTAATAATGCAATTAATATAGACCCTATTTATTCTAGGTTCATAAAAATTTTTAAAGTCTAGATCACAAAGATCTATGAGTCTCTGTGCTTTTACAAAGCAAAAAGATTTTAAAGTTACTTTTTTTATGTACCCTTACAAACTTTTTTTTATCAAAACAAATGGCCTTTGTTGATTGATTTTCTACCAATTAGATGCAGGTTGATCCCAACAATGTTGAGTAGGATTGAGATTTTAGCTCTGTAAAGGCAATTCAAGAACTTTGACTTTTTGTGATTTAAAATATTTCTTAAGAGATATGGAACAATACTTTGAATCATTATCTTTTTGTAAGATCCATTTACAATTCACTTTATATTTTTAATGTGCCAGCATAACATTCTTTATGATTTTGAAATAAACTCCCTGGCCTATAATATTTTCTATGCAATAAATGGGATCTGCATTATCATGACAAAAACAACCCAAACCAAAACATTTCCTCCTCCATGTTTAACAGTAGGTAACTGATATTTTGGATTGAGTTTGTTTTCTCTCTTTTATATCTATATATATATATGTATATATGTATATGTATATATATATATATATATATATATATATATATATATATATATATATATATATATATATATATATATACATATATATATATATATATATATATATATATATATATATATATATATATATATTTATATATATATATATACATATATATATATATATATATATATATATATATATATATATATATATATATATATATATATATATATATATATATATATATATATATATATATATATATATATATATATCTACTATAGCATATTTATATGCGCAATTGCTCACTTTTTTTGCTAGCCTAATTTAAGTGAGCGTTTTTAGAAAACGATGAGGGAAAACGAAGAATAATGAATGAAAAGGTTGCTGACCCATACCAAACCCTCAGTCGATGTAGCAGCACTCCACGGCGAGTCAGGCTATTTGTCAGTCGATGTATGTACTGAAGCCCCTGGCAGCAGGCTATTTGACATTAGGTGAATATGACATCATCATGCTCACCTAACTCAGCAGTATAAGATATATACATATATATATATTTATATATATATATATATATATATATATATATATATATATATATATATATATATATATATATATATATACATATATACATATATATACATATATATACATATATATTTATACATATATATATACATATATATAGATACATATATTTCTGATCATATTGACCAAGCCCTCTCTCTTTATCGTCACACTGAATGGTTTGGCTCTAGTGTCAGTGACTCTGCAGGCATTAAAACCCACAACTTTTACCTTTTTCAATCTCTAGCTCAAATAGTCAACTTTCCAACTTGCTTTCCAGACAACCCGAATCATTTACCTTCTCTACTCAACTTGTGTCTTGTTTCTGATCCTAAACAGCGCTTAGTTTCTCCACATTCACCCTTAGGTGCTTCCGATCATGGTTTGATCTCTCTAAAACTATTATCTCATTCTTCTTTTTCATCAGAATCCCCCTATCATCGTACATCTTACAACTACCTTAGAGCTGACTGGGACTCTTTCCATGATTTTCTTCGTGATGGCCCTTGGGTAGAAATCTTTTGTCTTCCTGTTGACAAATGTGCTTCTTACATAACTTTGTGGATTGAGGATGGCATGGAATCCTTTATTCCCTCTCAACAATTCCAGGTCAAGCCTCACTCTTCTCCATGGTTTTCCTCACATTGTACTGCTGCAATTGCCAATCGAAACCATTACTTCCATATCTATCAGCAAAACAATTGTCCAGAAAATAGACGTCTGTTTATTACTGCTAGGAACCATTGTAAAAAGGTTTTGTCTAACGTGCCTGCTATTCTCATATCATGAAATCTTGTATTTCTTCTAAAAAATTAGGCTCTCGTGACTTCTGGAGAACCTTTAATAGTATCAATAATAAGGACAAGTCTGTAATTCCACCTCTTTTGTATGGTTCAGACTTTGTCACCTCACCTAAAGACAAAACTGAACTGTTTGCTAAGAACTTTTCATCAATATCATCTCTTGATTCCACTAGTTGTGTTCTACCAGATATAGCCGTCAAACAGGTTGATCCATTGCTTGACATCCATATCGCTCCGGCTTCTGTATCTAAATTATTTTCCTGCTTAGACTCTTCTACAGCTTGCGGTCCGGACAACATACCTGTTATAGTCTTGCAGAAGTGCTCTTAGGAGCTGTCGTCTATCCTTTTAAAACTATTCAACAAGTGTTTATCAGAGTCTTGTTTTCCAGCCTGCTGGAAAGCAACATCTGTTATCCCTATTTTTAAAAATTCTGGAGAGCAATCTGATTTGTCTAACTACCGTCCCATTAGTCTTCTTCCTATCATAAGAAAGGTTTTTAAATCTTTAATTAACAAAAACTTAATCTCTCATCTTGAATCTAATAACTTACATTCTGATCATCAATATAGATTTCGATCTTCTCATTCTACGGCTAATTTGCTAACAGTAATAACCAATAGGTTTTATCGCACATTAGATAAAGGTGGAGAGGTTAAGGCCATCGCTCTTGACATTTCTAAAGCATTTGATAAAGTTTGGCATGCTGGTCTTCTCTTTAAGCTTTCTTCTTACGGTGTATCTGGAAACATTTTTAAGATTATTGAATCCTTCCTTTCCAATCAGAGTATAAAAGTTGTCCTTGATGGACAGCACTCTTCTTATTCTGTAACCTCAGGGGTTCCCCAAGGTTCAATCCTTGGCCCTATACTCTTTTTAATTTACATTAATGATCTTCCAGATATTCTCACATCTAAAGTGGCATTGTTCGCTGATGATACTACCATTTATTCTTGTCACGATAAGAAGCCAACTCCCTCTGATTGCTTGCAGGGGGCATTTGAGCTTGAAAAGGATATCACTTCTGTTACAGCATAGGGCTCACAGTGGCTGGTGAACTTTAATTTAGATAAAACTCAATTTTTTTCAGCCAATCATTATTGCAATAATTTAGACCTTCCTATATTTATGAATGGTAATGTACTCGATGAGTCATCTACCCTTCATCTTCTAGAATTAACTCTAACTTCTGATCTTTCATGTAAATCTTATATCAAATCCATTGCAAAATTAGCATCTGCTAAAGTTGCATCTCTTTATCGAGCTCGACACTTTCTTACTCTAGATTCTATTCTCTATCTCTATAAATCTCAAATCAAGCCTTGTATGGAATACTGTTGCCATATCTGGGGCGGATCTTCTAATGATCTCTTTTAGACAATGTGCAAAAATGCATTGTAAACATAGTTGGACCTGCTCTTGCTGCCAACATTTAACCTTTGTCACATCGTTGTAATGCTGCTTCTCTTTCTCTTTTCTACAAATACTATAATGGACACTGCTCTAAAGAGCTAGCGTCTCTTGTGCCATCTACTAAAATTCATTCCCGTGTTACTCGTCATTCAATTAAGTCTCATCCTTTTTCTGTGACTGTTTAAGTGCTACAAAAACTCTTATTCCTCTAGTTTTTTCCCTTGAACATCAGTTCTTTGGAATTCGCCTCATTCATCTTGCTTTCCTGATTCATATAACTTGCAATCTTTTAAGTTGTCGTTATCGTTATCTTGCTCTACAATCTTCATCTTTTCTCTTCAAGTAACTTCCAACACAAATTAGTGGTTGCTTGCAGCCACTTGTAGTATGTTTTCCAAGTTATTTCATTTAACCTTAATTTAAAAAAAAATTATTTTGAATTGAACATCAATTAAAGAGAAAACTTGTATACAAGCAAACCTACGAAAAGCACTTCCGGTAATTGATGGTGCACTTGAAGATTTATTTATGATTGATTATTAAGAACTTGATGTTAAAAAAGGAAATTTAAAAGTAAAGGAGAATGTCCCTATTATTAAGTGTGCCAATATTGAGGAGTTTGTAAAGTTGCTTATTGTGATTAAAGAAGAGAAGTTAAGCAATCAAACAGTTAAACTTGATATTAATGGAGGAGGAGGCTTTCTGAAGGTAAATAATTTCATTCTAAATATGTTTATGAAATTATGATTCAGTCAAAACAAAACAAAAAAGGTACAACATTGTATAAAAATAAAAAATTTCTTATTTTATATCTGTTTGAACCTACTGTCAGATTGTGAAAGCGAAGGTTTAGAACTTGAGAAAAAGAATCATGAAACTACAATAATTACATATGAAGAACCTCAGAATTCAAAATATAAAGATCTGTAAAAGCTTCTTTTTTACTAGCTTTAGTTCCAAATGTTTGTGAAAGTCGTTTGCAGATTATCTTAAGCTTTGTCAAATAATGTGTGGTTTTATCTCCAAGTGCTATGGCTACACAAAATTGCCATATATGCAAGTTTTGGTTCTTTAGAGCAACAATTCACAAAAGTTTCTTAATTAGGTGCAATAAAACGTAAGGCTAAAGAACTTTGCAACGTTAATAATCCTCCATTGACACATGCAGAAACTAGCGACCACTTAGTGCAGATTATCTTTTCTCAACAGAATTACACCTAATGGAGGGAGGTGTTAATCATATTTATAATCATATAGAGAAATGTGGTGGTAAAAACGAAGTTGCTAAAGTGTCAATGATTTTGAAACATTTTAAAAGAGGTCCAGAATTATGCCTTTAATGGCAACGCCTCTCATAAAATCCTTTAAAATTATGATAAGTACATGTGTGCATTGCCAATTAATTTAAAACAATTGGCAGAAGGGCAGAAGAGTTTATCAATTAGAGTTTTTACCGGTTAAGTCTGGATAAAAACTTCATCATGAAACACATATTAAAAACTTTGAAAATTACTCAGAACACTTGTTGAAGATTATCGAATAACTGTTTAATTTAAGATTATCGAATAACTGAATAATCGA